ATGTTTTTTAGCTTGTTAGTTCAGTAATTTCTTTTTTTTAAGTTACTCATGGATTACATAAATTTTTTGATACATTTTTTATATAATAACAATAAATAAATGAGAATATTTTTTTCTATTACGTTTCAGTGTTCTGAAGAGCATTTCGAGTTCGTCTCATTTCTTTTCCGCTCCATAGACAGTTTTTTGGCAGACTTTTTGCTGTATATACAATTTATTTACTGCACATAAATTAACTAATTAGGTACATTTACATATGTGCAAATACAACAATTTTTGCGATCAATTTTTATCCATATTAAGTATACGTATGGCAGAATGCTTTAAAGCATCGAGCCACTTTAATCAAAGGAAGCCAAACGAAAATCTAAGGGCACAGACATTTTCCGTCAGAAAATCAATAATAAATACAATAATGCATATAAGAATATTAATGATGTTCAAACTCACGCCTGCGTGGAATTTGATTCGGCTGTTCTGTATTCTTTGCCTGGGGTCATCATGCCCAGGCGACAACGACAAGAAGATATAGACATACATATTAAGCGAAGGCATATTTATGGGTCAGCTGATTTGTGCGCATTTTTGTATTCTCTTTTGCATTAACAGCATCTCTGTCATCATTTATCATCGTTTGCCTGCATATGTTGGCCTTCAAGTGGATATAAAGCAAACCAGATACGGATACGTGTCTGTGCTTAACGATGGAGTGGATAACTTCATGATGGAGCATAAGGGCTTGAATCAATTTCAATATTTTCTTATGACAATTAAAGAGATATATATTTCCATAAGCATAATTTATTGGATATATTGATTCTCATATTTGTCATGGATATATTTCATACTTATATTAAACAGAAAACGGAAAAAATGTGTGTTCTTAATAGCATAAGCGTATGAAAAAATTATGTATATATGCATATATAAAATAAATAATGTAAAGAAGGATACTATTCCTTAAGTTAAAATTTGATAAAGAATATTCCAAACTTACCTTTGAATCTAATCAATTTTAAAACTCATTATTTAATATCAGATTTATAGAAATTTGTAGACATATTTTTGTTATAAATATGAATTATGAAATAATTTCACTCTAAATGCGACATAAATAATTTGTAATATGAAACCTATTTGCAATGGGAGTCAAATTTGCGGCTTATATTTATTAATAACTAAATTCAAGCTATGGACTGTTGAATTGAATCAAATAGTACGATTGCAATTTCCTACAATTATTGACTCCTTTGAAATATAAGCCCGATTACAGCTCATTTGAGTCCATTCAACGAATTTTACAAACCATTGCTCGATATTATGCCACTAAGTGAGTTTTCAAAATCAACTTCAAATTGGCAACCGACATGCGAATGTGTTTGTATGCCAACAACTTCAGTTCGCAGAGCCGCATCTATTTACAAATTAAGTGGAGTCTGAGGGTGTGTGTGTTTATGTTTGGGTTTGTGTTTGTACTATGAGCAGTGCTTGTGCTCGAGTTTGTATTTGTTTTACTGCCAGTGTATGTAAATGGGAATATTTCACTGGCAACTACAGCTCGCATAATGCCAGCAAATTCACCGCAAAACTATATGATTTGTTTGGCTGATGGTGCATCGGTTGAGCCCCGTCCACACTTTTAAACTGGTTTCAATTGCATAATTGCGCTTTTCAAATTTACACTCATCTGTTTGTCAGTACTCAGCGTTATTGGTTATTGCACCAAATGGAAATGTCAATCACTATTTTTGCTGAATGAATTCATTGTCATGATGCCACATATATAAGGCCTGACTGACACTTGAAACATTTGACAAATGTACGCTCAAAATTCGTTTTGTTTGTTGTATGACTCAATGATAATAACCAACTTATCTGATCGCACACGAATTGAACAAAGTGAAGTCCAAATAACAGCTAAATTCGATTACTAATTAGAAACCACGCACATTTGCCTTTGAACCATTATCAGCTTAATGGGTTACACTATTAACTGTCAAATATATCAGTAGGGCTTTATTTATTTATAATTTCCAATAAATTAGCCTATCACAAAGATATATAATGAATGTTAAGTGCTTCGCATTATAGTAATTAATTACACAATTAAATAAAACAACAACTAAGTCAGTCTGAAGAAATCTAAATTTAGAAAGAAAATTAGGAAAATATCCAACTTATTGTCAATTTTAGTCTAAATAAATACCGACACGCAAATCTGGTTAGTTTGATTCACATAACTTGTTACACCCAAAAACTTCTCATAAAACTACACATCTTTCGACCAATTGTGCCTATATGAAGTCTTCGACATGTACTCTTCAAGATAGCTTTGAAATTGAGACACAAAGTCATAAAGAAAAAGACAGACACATGGGCATGGCTATATCAACTCTGTTTATAATATATATATTTTTTTTGTGGGATCTCAAACACCTCCCTCAATGCGGTACTTCAAACTTTACAATAGTATTTTAATAGCATCCGCATAATACAAATTATATTTATACTAGATAGTAATAGAAAAGTACAATATAAAAGGTATTAAGTATGACAAACAAATCCAATTATAAATTCAATTATAAAATACGTATTCATATATAAAATAAATGCGTATTAAAATTAATTGTTGAGAATATATTGCACTTATAGTACTTCACACATTCCTATTTACAGCTCAAAATGCCAAAAACTTAATACAGATTTCATTCAAAAAGTGTTCTGGTTATTTGGATTAGTTTGTAGTATTCTGACGAATCTTTCAGCAATTTTTTTCTTTGCAAGTATTTGGCATCAATATGCAAATTTCATCTAAAAAATTTCTAAAATACTTCACCTGCTATTTGTGCATACTTCACTTGTCCTAAATTGCCTGTTCAACTCTGGCATTTTTTCATACAAACGTATACTCGTATCCGTATCCGTATCCGCTTCCGTTCCTTTTTCATTTTCTGACTATGACTCTTGCGTGTGCATCCCAAAAGTGGGTAAGTCTCCATTTTACGGCCGGCGCCTCGTAGCTGTCAAAGATAGAGACCCAGTCCCAAACTTGACACGCACCTTTTGCACTCACATCAAAGTGTCGATAAAGTTGGTGGCGGCACATACCAAAATAAAAAGGAAAGAAAAAAAGAACTATTGACAACTGTGCAATTTGTGTGTGAGCCGAAGAATATTTTTTGGAATTAAATTGTGTTGCAAACTTGGGAGCTAAGCGAGTTGAACCTATTTTTTGAAAAGGGAGCCAAAGACCTTTTTGCAGCTCATGGCATTAAAGTGCTGGCTTTTGTGGTGAAATTAAGATATAGGTGGCATATACCCATATCAAAATCGGACATGTGCTGGCCAAGTGGGATACAGACAATGCAATTGCCACCATTATTTAGCATTATATTATATATTATATAATATATAATATATAATATATAATATATAATATATAATATATAATATATAATATATAATATATAATATATAATATGTAATATATAACATATAACATATAATATATAATATATTGTGTATATAAAATGTATATTTACATATATATACATAAATAAAATTATATTTTTTTTCCGTTAGTCTTGAATGGCTAATCAAAGGCGATTAGAGAAGTAATTAATTAACTCTTTGTAATGCCAGCGACCCTTTTCATGGGTAGCCAGACCCTGCGCCTTGCTACTTAAGATGAAACTTGGCGTTGTGAGCCAAGGCCTAAGATGGCTACAACAACAAAACAATTGGCTGGCATTCTCGCCTAATTCTAAGCACAATCTCCATAGTATCTGGCCTCCAAAAAACTTGCGGGTGGCCAAAAGTTTAAATTGAAGTGCTCGGCATTCTGTCCATTTGGCGAGTATGAGCAAACTTTTCGAATTACCCGCGCACTTCTATAAATGGTTTTGAATGTCCGACCATTTTTGCTTTTTGTTCTCACAGACCAATCCAATTTTCATTTCGGTCCTGTCAAACTTGACTCCGAACTAAACTAAGAAAAATGAAATGCACAACAACAAATAACAAAGCATGGAAATCCGAGCTTCCAGAATAGAGACTATGGCTTGTTAGCTGGTCACTTGTTGGTTTTCTGTGTGGCCTGTTGGCAATAGATTTATTTTGAATGTCAAAATATTTTTGGTATACGTTGATCGAATTTTCGATAATAAAATTTTGATCAAATTTGACATGTGCTCATTATGATTCTAAGCACAATAAATAGGTTTTCTATTTCTAAAGTAGCTTACACTCAGAAAAAATTTAATTTTAGAAAGTAACTAACCTTATTACGGAAATATATTTTGAAAACTGAACATAAAACCAAGGATTGTCTTTTCTTAATTCCAGGGTAAATTTTTCGCAAATATAGAAAAAAACACCTTATATTAGAAATTAACTTTTAAAATTTTAAATAGTTTATTTAAATTTAATTTGGAAAACCTACGATTTCACGGCGATTTGAATCCGAGAGTAACTATCTCTAACACTAACATAGCACTAGAGAGAGCAAATTTCATAACTATATTCAGAATTTCACATGGAATTTTTTATAAAAAAACATGTCTACTTTTTAGAAATATTTTCTATTATTAAGTAATAGAAACGAAGACTTTCAAATTTTTGAATTCGTATATTATATTTTGTGTATGAGTATGCACTCGAAAGCGTTGTAGTGTTCCTAAGCATTACTATTTTATAGATAATTAATTAAGTTTACCAGGGATCTGTGTATTGTGTATGCATATTATCTTTGACCTGCCAATAAAAGCAAACTTTAAAACAAGAACAAGAAATTACCAGCCAAAAATTGTCTGACAAGCTTTCATCAAATGCAATTATTACATTGCATATATACCCATATTACCCATATAAATTGTTTATATTAAATAGTAACTTTTTATATCATCAAACAGGCCAAATCTCATACTTCAGTTGAATAAATATTCTCATTTTTATTTTACCAATACCGAACTCTAATCGAAATAGTCATAGTTTCTTTCTGCGTTTAAAAGATATGTTTATAAATTAAATTCAAGCCTTCAATATGCCTAGAGGTATATCAAAACATAAGCAGCAGCGAGACGAATTGGAAATAAATATGGAAAAGAAGTTGCAGGAGGCGAAGGACAACGAACAGAAAGAAATCAAACTCCAAGCAGCTGTGCATGGATTGTCTCGTGTACCAGGCAAATGTCCAGTTGGCAGATGCAAAGACGTAGTTTTCCCCTCCAACATGATGGTGCATGTGCTGCACAAGCATTTGCATTCGACGGGCATTACAAGCTCGGAGATGTATGAGCATAAGCCAGCGGTAATATGCTTTGATCCAATGGTTTGTGAATATGGCGTTAATAAGTGCTTGGCCACCTTCTTGTTTGGCGGAGTGGAGGGCAAACCACAAACGCTGCCGGGCCTCACCTATTTGAGTCAACATAATTCGGCGCTATTCAACGACAATCGCAAGTATGAGAATTATCTGCCCATTATGATGATGGCCTGTCGCAGCACCTGGTATGCCCATCTCAAGGATAAAATGTTGGAGCGCGAACTGGTCGGGATGAATGGCAGCAACGCTGGCATCTATGTCTTCTGGCTGGTTGCCCCAAAAACAACCCGCAATCTATACTATTCACTGACCATCTACGATCGCTATTATCTAAACTCGCGTAGCGTTATCCGCCTGGTGCGTGACTACGCCAGCTACCAGAATCCCAGCGATTTTATACCCATGGAGCAAAACTATTTATTGTTGCGCGATTCGGAAGTCAATGAACTCATGTTGGGTCCAAATCCGAAGGACAAGCAGTTTAGACCCGGCATACCTATGGAAATCATTATCTACGAAAATCCCACAGAGACGCCCGTGCAGCGTATCGGCAAAAAGAAGCTGCAAGAGGCACTAGAGCAGCTGCCAGATGATTACATAAGAAAATATGCTCCCCTATCAGGAGACTGGTAAAATATCAGTGCAAATGGACAATCTTTCGTTAGTCAGTACACTTCTATTTGGATTCAGCCACAGTTCAATTTGGTACTTTAAAATTCTAGTGTAAATAAAATTGATCGAAGTATATACAAATATATTTTATCAATGGAGATTATATATTTTAGTGAAATAAAGTTTAGTTGGGCTCAAATCAAGAACTTGCTACTTTAGTAGAGCATGGCTGATATAAAAACGAGTTAGACAAAATGAGAGCAAAACAAAATGAGAGCAAAACAAAATTATATTAAACAAAGCTAAACCAATCTCAGCACAGTAGTGTATGTAGAATATTAGTGAATTAATTGATATTATGCAGAGAGAATTATTCTGAAATGGAAGATTGTGTCTGCCTTAAAACCAGGATTTTTATTTCCCTAATTCCTTAGTGGAATCCTATAAAATTAAGAACACATATACATATATTATTTCCATGGTGTCTTTAAATAATTGTACACAGAATTAGAAATGCCTTTTTGTTCTTTATATTATCATTATTAAATATTAGCATTTTATTATTTCACAATCAATCACAATACTTGAACTTTTCTGTGTTGTGAGCAAAAACGAAATACCTCAAGGAATTTAATTGAAACTACAATTTGTCACTTGGTTCTCAACTTTATCTATACATATGCTTAATTGTATCTACATTTATCTTATAAATCTTATGGTTAGCTATAATTAATTACAACCATTAGCTGACTTGGTAAAATTATCACCTATTCCCCGGCGAACATCAATAATCGCATATGTAATGCCTGAGGCTAATCGTTATACAAGTTAATGAACGAATACATGAGGCATGCAACAGGCTTCACAGCAACTAGCAACTAATGCCACCGTTTCGGTCATTTATTTGACTCTTATTTAATTTTCATTACAAATTTGAGGCCGCACGTGATGTGCATGCAATACCATTTTCATTTTCATTTCCATTTCCATTCGCGTAGATGAGACTCAGATAATGTCATGCCCTGCTCCCTTCGCCCCTAGCTAAACTTGCCGCATTTGTATGCGCCATTAACACACGAAATACAATACAAAAATTAGTTCAAGCTCTGACAGCACAGACCGAGAGGGTTGGGGGTTGGGGTGATGGGAGATAGGGGAATAGAGAGAGAGAGAGAGAGAGAGAGAGAAAGACAATCAGGATATTATATTGCCTTCAGCTGGATACTGCTGCTTCTGTTGTCTGCTATTTTCCTGGTCGCCATTTAATTAAGCACTTAATTATTTAATGCGCTGATTGTGCAATATTTCAAACGTATCCTTTGCTCCTCGACTTAATGACAACTCATCCAATTGCATTGGCTTATCGCCCTATGCGTGTACAAGTCTGCATGTGCGTGTATGTGTGTGTGTCGAGTGTGTGCTGAGGTGTCATAATTACCACATGCAGGTGAAATTTAATCAACCAACCGCAACGCTGAGCACTGCTCAAGTCAAATTCAGCTGGGCATTAGTAATTAATGGGGATTTTCCACAAGGTTGCATTTAGTCGTATTATCATGGCATTTGCATTAGCATTGGCAGTTGATTAGCGAAATTCCTGTTATCTCAAAGGGCCATTAAACCAACATTTATGGACTTACTTCAGTTTAAATTATATTAATTTTGTTTTATACTAATAAAAATTTCAGGATTTCTATTATTTTCTACACCCTTATTTAAAATACAAAAATACACATATATGTAAGGCATTTACTGCACATGTTACCAGACCTCTGTTGCCCGTCTTTCAGCTGTTTTAATATAATTTCATTATGACTAGTAATTTTTCTAGACTGCCAGCCTTCATTACCATATGGTGGCAATAATTAAACTTAATGAAATTGCCAACATTTGTTGGCACTTCTATTATTCCTCAACTTGAAGCTAACTGGTTGGTTTTCATTGGTGGTCAGCTTTTCTTGCCTTTATCAAGTACGAGGGTCGTCTTAAAAGTCAGCGACTAGATAATCCAACTGGTTATATGCTAAGTTTTAAATTAAGTTCATCAAAGCAAAAATAATAAGCAAACAAAAAAACCTTTTTGGTCACTGTCTGATTTTCACGATCTGATTCTCAAAAGCAATGGCTTCCTGTTCATTTGCCTGTTATACAACAGAGAATTTGCCCTATTAATATTTGCATTCAACGGCATTCGACCACACCCCCCATTGCCTATTCTGCCAGTCAGCACTTAAAACAACACATTCGCCTTCGGCATTGTCAGTTGACAATGGCAACAGGCGCGACGAGCGGACGAGGAGCCGGGAAGTCGAGTTGGTTGGCAATGATGCGTATGAGCATTTTATGTGAGCGCCGCTCAGTATCTATATTTAAAAAGGCTCAAGCGGCACTTAACTTTAGTTCAGCCCATTTCCCACATTGCAGCACAGTGGGTAGAATCAATGAAAAAGCTTCGCTGATTTTTGTACACTTACAAAGAGTCTTTTATTGTTATTATGAACTGTGTAACGCATTTAAAAGAGACATATCCGATCCAATTAGATAAATATACTCTTGTACAGCAATAATCACTCGTTAATCATGAGGTTTCTTTAAGAAGGGGCAAGTGCATAGCAATGGAAATAGTAAATTATTAATGAAACATGATTTTAGTCTTTGTTTTGTTTTTATGTTACACAAACGCGATAAATTGCAAATGTCGGTCGCAAAATTATTCGTCGACCTGTAAAGCGTGGTTTAGCCAGGAAAATATGCTTAGTAGCTTGGGGAAACATATTTAAAGGGATAACATAGAAATCCTAAGCCCGACAAAGTTGATGGAAGAAGGGGAATAGAGCAAACAGGTGCAGTGCATGCAGGCGCCAAATAGCAATGTACCCAATTTAAAAACTTTTTAAGAATTACTAAGCCAAACTTACCAATAATAATACGCTACTAACATTGTTAAAAACAAAAATATATAAGCAAAAATGTATAAGCATTTACATAATAAAAACTTCAATTTTAATTGCTTTTACATTGGATATAGAAAAAAAAAATAAATAAATATAAATCAACTAACTAAATAACCATCTATAATTTCCAATTTTAATGCTTAGACAAAGTCAAAACTAAATTTTATTTCTTTCAAACACACGTCTGCTTACTTAGCTTTATTCACAACGATTGATTTCTTCTTATCGATCGATATCGATAACAATGTTATGGACAGATGTTATTTTACAAACTTATTCTACGTCACTAGTAGCCTGTTGCCTACATTACAAGTGGCCTGCTACAAAGATTTCTAGAGAACAGCATTTAAATAAAATGTTCATAATATTTCATTAAACCAGGCCCATTGTTAAAGTAGGTCGCATTTGCGTAACATACTTCTCTGCGTCGTGATTGGTTGACAAAGTTTATATGCTTAATCGCATAAATATAGCTTACGGCTATTAAGTAGAGATGAACAACGCTCATGGAGATCTAGCACATTTCTAATCAAGGGCTTTCATTATTTTACATAAAATCTCTGCCTGGCCTTAAATAATTGCACTTTATTTCCTTGAAGAGCTCTCAGTAGTTGTTAATTAACAATAATGAGTTGCAATTCAAAGCCATAGGATTGTTTTGTGCAAGTTGCTGATACAAATAAAGTTTTCTAGTTTACAAATCTATAACGAGACTCAAAATACCCTTTTGAAAGTAATAACAAAGGTGGCCAATATCAATATGCCAGGCTTTTATCAAAATATATTTTGTAAATAAACCACATACAATTACAGCATTAATATTAGATAATATTATTTTTATACTCTGAAGGTATCATAGTATACTGGTTTTGAGCAATGTCTGTCATGCTGTCTGTCCGTCTTTCCGTCTATATGAACGCAACTTTTGGCTATTATGGCCGCAGGTGTGGGCGTGGCATACAAATTTGAAATCAGTTCTAAAGGGCGGCTCCCAGTAATATACCTACCAAATTTGATGACTCTAACTTAAAATTGCAGAAGTTTTACCTTCGAAATCAGAGTATAAAAATCGATTTCACTTTTGCATAATAAAAAGCGCACACTGAATCAGATTAAAATGTCATAAGCGAGAAATGTCAGTCTATAAAATAAATATCGCATATTTCAATAAAGTACATATTGATTAAGCGAGAAATGTCAGTTTATAAACTGAATATCGCATATTTCAATAAATACACACATAAATTAAACATACAAATACATATACGTGTATTGGAGCTCCTCCCAATTGAAGAGAACATCATTTGGAGATATAATTAATTTCAGTGCCCTGCTTTTTTTCTTATAATCACTTATAATTATATTTGCATAACCAATTAGATAATAGAACTCGAGCAAGAAAACATCTGGGTATTGGTTGCAGCTGCTGAATACATTGAAAGCGAACTTTGGAAAACAAGTGCCTTTAATTTGCCAGAGCGCCTCAAGTTTATTTAAGGAGCATGTACCTTATGATACATGCGTAAGGAGATGTGGGGAGAGTGTGAAGAGGCGTGAAAGGTTGAAGGTCTCAAACGTGTTGTTCGACGTTGGGCTGATGTCAATTATCTCTGCATATATTGCTGCTCTGTTGAAACGTAGCGATGTGGAAAACTGTGACGGTGCGTCATTGGCAAACAACAAGAAAATCCCTTTTGCCAACAAGCGCCGCACACTGTAATTAAATGACACTCAGCAGAACTGCGCTGAATTGGGATGGACCCACTCACTCCAAAGCAGTCTGTGGCCAATGGAAATGCGCAAACAATGATGGGCAAACTCGATGCGCCCTCAAAGCTGACCCAATTAGCAGACTTGCTGGGAGAAAAGCCTGCGCTGTTTCCTTTAGCTTTTGCTTTAGCATCGCAGCATCGATGGTGATGATGGCGCTTAGCACTAGATGGGTTGCCACGTTTGGCAGACACGTTAATTAAATTATCACGTGTCAATTAATGCAGCTCCCAGGGCAACTAGCAATAAGAACTGACGCTAGTCACTTTTTCCCAGCTCACGGTGCGTATGAGTGATTTTAATACTTATACTTCTGCTTCGGATACTGCTGCTGCTTTTGCTGTTGCTATTCCTCCACTGTCTGCCAACTATCAACTGTCATAATTTTTCGCTGCCTTCCTGCCAGCTAAATTGTTGGCTC